TGATGGCGTCAGTGATCGTCATCATCGTCTCCTTCATTGTCGTCATCGTCGTCTTCATCATGTCAACATCACGTCATTTTGACGTCATCATCGTCGTCGTCATCATAGTCACAATCATCTTTCACTAGGGTCCTGTGACGAACGATTCGCCGTCCCCTTGACTGCATAAGTCATTTCAATGATTGTTGACGTCATAAGTATTTATAATTATTATCATCATCGTCATTATCATCATCGTCATTATCATCATCGTCTTCGTTATCATTCGCTTATCATCTTTATTACTAACTAAAATATACCACCATCAATGCGTTCGTTTATAAAAAATGTATCATTAACATTATCCAATTTTTAATATCATGATTGCTCATAAACAATTGTTATCATCATCATTATCATCCATATCATTATCGTGACGTCATTATGACATCATCATCATCATCATCATCATCATCATCATTATTATTGTGACATCATCATCATCATTATCGTGACCTCATCATCATCGTGACATCATCATCATCTTCTTCTTCCTTATTTAGGTTGCTAGGCTACTACTGAGGTGTAATCTTTCTATTGGATGAGTATTTGTTATTGGTGTTGATGATGATGACGAAGAATAAGAAGAAAATGATGATGAAAATGGCGATGACAACGACGATGATGATTTTGATGGTGCTGATAATGCCAGTGTACTTAATTTAATCGCTTTTCCATTTTGCAGAGCAATGATTAGTGGGAAATAATTTGAAAATTTATGACGTATTTCCGGTCATATATACACACACACCTACTTTCACCCTCCTACACACTCACACACACACCCACGCATACACACACACCACACACACGCATACAAACATATATACACGCACTTAGGTGTTTCTTTACAACTGTCTTCTTGTTTTATATTTTTGTACAATTAATAAGTTAATTAAACTATTTTTTTAGTTAAATACAAAAATCAAAATATTTTTTAGAATGTATTTTAATATTTTTATTATTTTATCAAAAATTTACAATAATAATGATGGTGATGATGTACTAGAAAAAAATCATAAAGAAGAAGAAACAATAGCAGACGAAGAAAAAAATTTAGATGCACGCACGTACAGACACGTACACACACACACACACACACACACACACACACGTACACACACACACACAAACACGCACACAAACATCGCCGTGCATAAATTATTTTCCCCTTCATTCCTTCACTTTCTCACTCAATCCATCTCACTGCCTTTCATCTCATTTACATTTACTTCGCAATAATTTACATTGCAACCTGATAGTACTTTTTTCCTCAGTCACGGTACTCTGCTACACTTGCTCCACCCGACACATACACTCCAGATGACACACCTTTTAGATACACACCTTGTAGATACACTCTTTGTAGATACACACCTTGTAGATACCTACCTTGTAGATACACACCTTGTAAATACACACCTTGTAGATACACACCTTGTAGATACACACCTTGTAGATACACACCTTGTAGATACATACCTTATAGAGACACACCTCATAAATACACACCACATATATACACGCGTTTACACAAACGTTTTACAATACAAGAAAAAATGTTACATTATTCCAAAGATATTAAAGAGATATTATTATTATATTTGCAAAGTGTTATTGGGGTATTTGTTATATACATATAGGTTATATGATCTAACTATAAAATTGTAAGATGATAATGATGATGATGTTGTTGTTGTTGATGACGTTGTTGATGATGATGATGATAATGATGATGGTGATGATGATTATTATTATTAATTTGCATAAACAAATAAATAAATTTACATATTAATTATAATTTAATTCGTTGATATAGCTTGAAACTAACTAATGTGTGTGTGTGTTTGTGTGCATGTGTGCATGTGTGTGTGTGTGTTTGTTTCTATGTTTATTTATTCTTGGATTTTTAATCACCTTGCTTTTAAGTCTTGTAGCAACATAACTGATGATCAAACATCCCGCTCAAACATTTGTATAAAAAGAATTTGTATAAAAAAAACAATTATTTGTATAAAAAGAATTTGTATATAAAAAAACAATTTCCTATCCTCATGACGCTGAAAAAGATAATTATGAAAGTATTGATAACGTTGATGGTGATGAGGACAACGACGATGTTGGTGGCTATGAAGACGAAATGATGGCGGTGGTTATGACGTCATAATTTGTTTGTTCTGAACGAGGACCATTTGACGGTGCACTATTTAGAGGCGTCTCTACTCGGCATTCATTCTGGGGGACGGTTCGTTTTTACTACTACTACTACTACTTCTACTACTACTACTACTACTACTACTACTACTACTACTACTACTACTACTACTGTGATAATGATTGGGATAATAATAGTAATAATAATAATGATGATGATGATAATAATAATATTAATAATGATAATGATAATGACCCTGATAACGATGAAAATTATAAGCCTTTTGATAAGTCGCCAAATTCGGCTTTTGAAATATTTTTATTGTTCACGAAATATCGATGCGTTGTTTTAAAAACTCCAAGTACTTCTACTGCGTGGGTCGTCTATAAATGTTGGTAATTTACTAGAATTTTTTATCTTCTCGCTGTGCTAACTATTGTTTTACTACGACGACTACTACTAATACTACTATTACTACTACTACCTACTACTATTTCTACTACAACAACAACTACTTCTAATACAACTACTACAATTACTACTACAACTAATACTTTACTGTTACTACAACTACCACTTCCAAATAGCACAACATAACCTGACTACATTAATTATTACAAGAATGGGCGCATAAACAGCGTACAATAGATGTACAACTCTGACCATTAACATCAGATGATAATGAAATTAATGTAAGTTACGGTGGCGCAATAAATAAGTACCCGCAAACTTTTGAACTCTGAACTTTTGAACTTTCTAAATGCTAGACGGAACTTTTACGAGTATGTTTTTGTCTATTTGTTTTTGTTTGTTTGTTTCGTCGGTGTTGTATTGTATTTATTGTTATAGTTGTTTGACTTTATCCTGATGTGCGTGTGTGTATGTGTGTGTGTGTTGATGTACGTGTGTGTGTGTGTGTGTGTGGTGCGTGTTTCGTGACAAATGTAGTATTTAGTGAGCAGAGTTAGAGTTCAATTGTGCTGTGTGGTATTTCATAAATGAAAATAAATTTCTCTGCCAGTTTGATTGAAATTTTAAAGGATTGTTAAGTTCCGTTTTAAAAATAAATTATTTTTTTTCATTTTTCAGGTGATTAAAGTTTCATTATTTGAAGAAGTTTCAATCCACTCATCTATAACACCATCCCTCTTTCCATCAACATCATCCTCGTCGTCGTCATCATCATCAGTTTAAATTTTTTTTTAACTAAGCCGAGAATTGAAATGATGAAAAAGCTATTAATCGAAGCATTTTCAACATCCTACATCCCACTATCATCATCGTCATCATCATCTTCCTCATCATCATCTTCATCGATATGCTCCTCAACTTTGAAATTCCACAGAAAAGCTCTCCTCATGCTTCTCTTCATCCACTTCATCCAATCTCCTACAACTTCGGCAGTGGCAGTTGTAGCCACTTCATCGACCACATGTCCGAACAATCCATATCTATCTAATATCTGTTCCATGTGCAAGACCATGACTTCCCTGGCGGAGATGAGCAAGTGTTGCGACTCGGAACTCGTGGTCAGCAGTTGCGTCGCAGCCCTCAAAAGCGTCATGGGGCAGGCGCAGTTGGAGTACTCGAAAAACGTGGAAGACCAAGATGAGAAGGACGACCATCTAGATGAAAGACCCGACCAAAGTGAAGCTAATGAAAATTACTTTGGACACCAAAACAAACGTCTTCAGGAAGATGACGCTGGCGAATTGACGGACGATCAGCTGTCAGAGAGAGATGATTTAGACTCTGAAGATTCCGTAGACAAACGTAGAAGTGGGTTCTTAGGCAAGCGTCGCAGAGTGTTTCTTGGCAAAAGACGAAATGGTTTCCTTGGTAAGAGGAGCGATGAAGGTAAGAGATCGAAAGTTTACCACGCTAGAACCGGCGGCAAAAGACGCAATCCCTTCTTGGGTAAACGAAGTAGCAGTTACGAGGGAGAAGATGGTGAGGGGGATAATGAATTGAGGGCTAAAAGGTCCGCAAGAATGAGAAGTGCATTCCTGGGTTGAAGTTTCCGAGTTCCAGCTTGGTGCACTGCACAACCGATTTGTGAACACTGAGTTGATGTTTAGTGAATATATGATGTTTTTATCCTGAAATAAACATTTACTCATTCATATTTATCCACAATTTAAACTTGATTATTATTAACGTATTGGCGTTATTTTTTAAAATAACCAAATACAAGTTAATTAAAATATACATGTTTATGGCTTGATGTATATTTTGGTGTAAGAAAATAGTTTCAAAAAAAAACGTTGTTATTCTTTAATTGGCAAATTAAAAAATTAAAATTTAATAGAGGTACAAAGTATCAATTCATTAAAACAAATTTCTTTTAAATTTATCTGTTCAAAAGTCAAAAACCTCACAGTTGCAGATCTAAGAATAGCTGGGGGGTCCTGAGCAGTAAAGTTATTAAAAATCAGTTAAAGTCGGTTTTTAGACAGGAACATTCACCATTTTTAGTTTACAAACATGAATAAATAATTATCGTTATAAACTATAGTCACTATAGCTCGATTATTTTGAAATGTAGCGCTGATATAGTGAATTAACCTGGTTATTTTTTACTAGGTTCATGTTGCTTTCAATCTTTTGAGCACGAAAATGTATAATTTGGTAACGGAAATGTTAAAGAATTAGTCGCTATATACGTAATAGCCCAAGATTTATCACACTATTATTTTGAATCAGAAGTCTTACAGAAAAATTAATGACTAAAATTCACTTTTCATCTTTGTTTTGTTTCTCGGTGTGTGTTTCCAAGTTCATTAACGTTATTTAATTCCATCGGTTCACGTTTTTTTGTTTTCTAACTAAATTTAAACCAATTAGCTACATTTTTTTCGGAATCTGTTTACCAATTATTTCGCTCAGAATGACGTTTTTTCATTTTGCGAACTGCGTTGCGCTAGCCTACATTCCTTACCTCATCATCTACAAAAGTTCTGGATTGTAAGTTTTTTTTTAAATTTTAATTGAATTAATTAAAAGAAAGTTTTTGGTAATTTAATTAAATTAAATATTAAATCTTTTTATCAATTTAATAAGTCATGTTTTATTTATTTTTTTCCCTAAAAATGAAACCACCCCCAGAGCGGAGTACAGCGCTTTCTGGAAGTGTGTGCAGGCCAGTGCAGCCTACCTGGTGACCCAGTTATGCAAGATGATGTTCCTAGCCACTTTCTTTCCTGCCACTGACCACGTGACTGGGCATTTCGATTTTGTCGGGGTCAGTAAGTACATTAGTGAATCATTAATTTAATTTATCTATTCATTCAGTAATGTCTGCTCATCTTATTAAAATGTCTTTGTCGTAGATTAGATGTTTTTTCTTTATTTCTTTTGTAGTCCATCTTTATATTTCGAAGGTTTCACAGACATGTTATTTGTAATTTTATTTAGTTTTAAAAGTTTTATAAAAATTCTAATAAATTTTGTAATCAATTGATCAATTAATTCTTATTTATTTTCATAGTCTCCATCCGTTATGAGTCTGACTTTATAATAATTACTATAATAATTGTTGTTATTTTATATTTCATTTTATTTTTATTTAATTTACATTTAAATTCTTATGCAAGGAATTCTTAAAAGCCACAGTAGACATAACAGATTTGTTTGGCTTGTACTTAGTGATGTCACAAATTACAGGAAAAGGTACATTACCATTGTTTTGTTACCAGTACTTACGTCTGTATACTTATGCTCAAATGTGTGTGTGTGTGTGTGTGTGTGTGTGTGAATGTGTGTATGAATGACTGTGTGTGTGTGTGTGTGTGCATGTTTAGATAAGCATATTTTACTTCTATATTAAATGAGCGTATTTGTTTTCAATCATCCATTTTGCTAATCATTGGCCAGGCCAGTTAAAATTCATGATTGCTGGAGTTGGTTGGTCGTTTGCCGAACTCCTTACAACAGGGTTGGTACTTTATAGAATTTTTCTCCCGGGTTAATTACTATTTTTCCATTTTTTTCGATCATATTTATTTTGATCATATTTATTTTTATATTATTTTTTTTCAGGTTTTTCCCTCTCTGGATTGGGGCAAGGGGCGTAGAATTTGATTGGAAGTACATTCACATGAGTTTCATGGCTAACATCAACATGGTACACATTTGTTCATTCATTCATTTATTCATTCATTCATTCATTCATTCATTATTTTTTCATTCATTTATTTATTAATTCATCATTCATTCATTTCTTAGTTTATTAAAATTAGTATTGTATCATTTGTTTGATTTTAATTCTATAATGGTTTCAGTTTATGATTACATAACATCATTATTATTATTATTATTATTTGTATTATTATTCATATTATTATTGTTGTTGTTGTTTATTTATTATTAATAATTATTTTTTATTTTTCTCTGTCTGGCAAAGGTTCAGCACATTGTGACAGCCATGCTGGTCTGGTTGTATACAAGATCCGACCTGAACAAAGCACAACTGCCCGCAGTTTTTGGACTGCTAGGCCTCTCCTGCTTTAGGACTTTCATCATCGAGTTAGTGTGTGCGTTCGTGTGTGTGTGTGCGTGCGTGCGTGTGTGTGTGTGCGCATTTATGTAGTCTATGTAGTTTTTTTTTCACGTAATTTCAATTTTTTTTTAAATAAAAATAGTTATTTTAAACAATCTTTTTTCCTCTTGCAGATTTTTAGCCCAAGTTTTTGGGGCAGGTTTGTGGTTGATACTGGCGAAGATATTAATGACATTTTTATCTGGCATCATAGCTCTGAAGATCTATGCGACTCTGCCATCTGTCAAGATGTGAAAAAACTGAAAACTTATTTATTTTTTTTTGTTCTAAATTGTTTATGATTGCTTTTTAATGATTTCAATAGTTAATTTCTTTCGTTTGTGATATAAGTTTGGTTAAGGATTTTATATTTATTTGATTGATTTGTTAGTCAAGAATGGACTGTTTTTTCAATTACTTTGAGTTCTCTAGATCAAAAATAAATCGTTTTTCGTGTGATTTTTCTCCTCTGCTTTCTTAATTTACTTACCATCATCGAACTAACACCTTAATACTCTTAAATTTGACGTGATGCCAGTGTTAAACCAATTAGAAATTGTGATTGACGTGCGCGTGTGTTTGTGTGTGTGTGTGTTAATATGTGTGTTTGTATGTGTGTTTGTATGTGTGTGAATATACCTATCTGTGTGCGCGTTTGTGTGTGTGTGTTAATATGTGTGTTTGTATGTGTGTGAATATACCTATCTGTGTGCGTGTTTGTGTGTGTGTATGTGTGTGGATATCATTTTGTTTTAAGATTGATTGTAAGGTATTCTGGCGTATTATGTTAAATTGTAAGGTATTATGTAGTAAGTTAGATGGTAATGTATCATTATGTATCATAGTACGGTAGATGTTGACGACGAATGAGGTTACGAGATCTTTGAATGATTATGTGGTGATTGTAATGGAGGCAGTGGAATAACGATGATGATGACGATGATGATGAGATGATGATAACAACTTGTGAAAGGATGATGACGAAGATAAAGGCGATACAAGGATGAATATTGCTCTCGACGGGGGCACGTAAAATACGTCATCAATTTACATTTATGTTAATTTATGTTAATTCACAGCTATGTTAATATATGTTAATTTACAGCTATGTTAACTTACCTCTATTCCAATAAGGATTGTAATGAGGACGATGACGAACGGAAATCGTAATAAAATTGCATTTGTGGTATCGTAGAGCTTGGGATTTAGGTGATTTAAATATATTCTATGTGGACATATGTCTCTCTCTCTTTTTCTCTCTGCTTTCTTTTATTCTCTCTCTTTCTTTCTCTGTGTGTTTTTGTGGCTTTTTTTGTATGGTTGGATGTTTGTATGCTTTATACGAATGTGTGTGTGTGTGTGTGTGTGTGTGTGTGTGTGTGTGTGTGTGTGTGTGTGTGTGTGTGTGTGTGTGTGTGTGTGTGTGTGTGTGTGTGTGTGTGTGGTAATATATACAAAACCTTAGTCTGAGAAACTAGATAGACTAAATGAAGTGGGATGACTAATGATGGCATGATGAATAGATGGGAATGAATGATGAAATAAAACGCCGCGGATAAAAGAATGATGATGATAAATTATGACGACAATAGTGATAATAAATATAAATTCATGAAAGCATCTGGTTCCTAGCTCTCACACGCGAGAGAACTTGCTTTTTTTGTAGAAATTGAAATAAATCTTATCGTTATAAAACTGCGTTTGTATTTTGCATATATATTTCTCCTTACAACGAGTATTTATGACGTATTGCATAGTTTTACAAGGCAATTTGACAAAAAAATTTAGAAGTGTCATTTTGCCGTAGGCTTTTGTTTGCTTACATGTATTCTTACATTTGTGTGTGTGAGTGTGTCAAATTAGATACGTACGTTTGGGTACGTATGCGTCTATGAATGTTTGTGTGTACACAAGTATGTGTGTGTGCGTGAATATTTACACGAACAATTGTTGGCGCTCCTTCTAGTGGTCATGCCACATAAGGAATATGCGTACGCGCGCGCGTGTGTGTACACCTGCTTGTCTTCTTTAAAATGTATACGTTACGTACGTCTGTCAGCTGCTTGCATCAGTGCATGTTGTATATATACATGTATACGCTTATGTATATATATATATATATATATGTGTGTGTGTGTGTTTGATTGTTTTGAAAAACAAGTGTTGATTGACACTGTGCGTGTGTGTATGTGTGTGCGTGTGTGTGTGTGTGTATGTTTGTGCGTGTGTGTGTGTGTATATTAGACTGCTATGGGTAGGCACAAAATAATGAACAAACCAGGAATGAGATGACAACGATGATGATGATGATGACAACGATGATGATGATGACGATGATGATGATGACGATGATGATGATGAGAAGGATGGTGATGATGATGACGAGTGGGATGGTGAGACAGAAGAAGAAGATGGAGATGGAGATGACGACAAGAAAAAAGATGCTGGTGACGACAGAAGATGCTGAGCTGCAGATGGAGAGAGAGAGAGAGAGAGAAAGAGAGAAAAAAAAGAGAGATGTTGAGGAGAATCAGAAAGAGGCGTCATTCTTTTTACATCTTTTCTCTCTTTTTATCTCTCCCTTTTTTCTTTCCTTCTCGTTTCTAGTTTTTTATTCCTCCTTCTCTCTTCACTCAATCTTTTTCTCGCCCGTAAATTTTAATGAAATGGTGGCAAGTTAGCGTAACTAATGCGGCGACACCAGCCTCATAAATAAACATCGGGGTTTCATTAATATTCATGACCCAACGTCCACAGCCAGTGACATGGGTGGTGGGCGGGTCTTCAGATATTTGATGTGTGTGATGATGCTCTTTTTACCTCACCTAATGTTCTAATTTATTAAACTTCTCTTTCAGGCTTTGCACTGTAAAAAAATGTTTTCGCTTTGTTAAACTGTGTACAAACCTTTGTATATATATATATATATATATATATATATATATATGTATATATATATATATATATATATATGTATGTATCTATGCATGTATGTATGTATGCATGTATGTATGTATGTATGCATGCATGTATGTATGCATGCATGTTTGTATGTATGTATGCTTACGCACATATATTGCACGCATGTGCCAGAGTGGTCAGTTTGTGGTGTGTGTATTATTCTAGGGTATAACAAATGTCATATGGACAATGTTTGTACGTTTGTGTGTGTATGTGTATACATACATACGTTGTTGTTGCGTTTGTACGCCTGTGTGTGTGTGTGTTGGTTAGTTGTACGTAGTATGTTGTTTTTGTTGATTGACTCTTACTCAGTCTACCAGCTGAACTACTACGCCTATAATTTTGTTGTTGTTTGTTTGTTTATGTTGATACAGTTGGGTGTGTTAATAAGTTTTAAAAATTATCTAACTAATGGGAAGGATGGTTTGGTTTGGTTCACTTTAGTTTCGAGTGGTAGTGTTGTTTTAGCTTCTTTCTCTAGAATTACAAGATGATTCATAAAAATCTAATCGTTTTAAAATATTAATTTGTTGCCCTTGTGAAGTTTCATGGATATCTGATTTTGTTTAAACATTGAAGAACGTTCTAGAAATAGCACAATGTTTCAGGATCATTATAATGACGTCATCGCTATCGTCTTCATTATCGTCATCAAGTTGACGTCATCATCGGAGTCATCATCAGCGTCATCATATCACGTGCTCATTACACATCAACAACAACATCAACAACAACAACAACAATAACAGCAACAACAAATAATAACGACAACCGCAGTTATATATATATTTGATTGAAAAATAATAAAATATGTATATTAAGGAAATTATGAATTTTGACAGCGCGTGTGTAAGTGTGCTTTCATGTGTACGTGTGTGCGTGTGTACTTTCAAACGTTCAAACAGCTTTTTTTATTTGTCACCTAAAATTTTCGTTTCCAACTAATTTCATCTGGCTCTAAAAGTAGATTGGAGAATAGGTTAGCCAGATTAGCCGGATTAATTGCATCGTGATAAATACATTAACAACGACTACATCACAACAACAGCAGCAGCAACAACCACAGCAACAAAATGCTTCCCTGCCTACCTCTTTGGAAAGCCTGCAACCAGCAGGTTGACTTTGTGGACAAGCGCCACTGCAACCTAGCCAGCATTCCAGAAGATGTCCTGCGACTCAACCAGACGCTCGAGGAGTTGCTACTGGATGCCAATCAAATAAGCGAACTACCTAGGGTTAATATGATGATGGTGGTGACGATGATGATGATGATAATGATGATGAAAAAGATGATAATGATGATGGGATGATGTGGATGATGATGATGATAATGATGAAGATGATGATGATAGTGATGATGATGGCGATGTTGATGATGATGCAAAGTTATGTACGTTTAATAAATACGCGAACTGTATGTTGTACAACAATACAGGCAAAAGATTCCTTTTACAGTTCGCCTTAGCACAAAAATGAATGTTAATACAATCGAGGGCACAAAGGATGATACAAATGTTGATACAAATGATGATACTAAATATGATACAAATGTTGATACAAATGATGATACTAAATATGATACAAATGTTGATACAAATGTTGGTACAAATGATGATACTAAATATGATACAAATGTTGATACAAATGTTGGTACAAATGATGATACTAAATATGATACAAATGATGAGACAAATGTTGGTACAAATGGTGATACAAAAGATAAAACAAATGATCAAACACGATTTTATAAGAAGATTGAAAATACAAAAGAAACATAAAATTGTAGATACGAATGATAATACATAATATAATACAATTAACGATAATACAAACAATGATGATACAACTGATGATATAAATAATGATACAACTGATGAGGATACAGCTGAAAGCATTCTTAATCACGTGCCGTTAATACGTGCATGTATCTATTAACTCAAACAACTAGCATGATTTTTGTTGTTGTTACATTTGGACATCACCTCTCTATCTAACTGCTGCTACTTGAAGGTGTTTTCAGCGGCTTGTTATCTCTCTATCTGTTTGTTTGTTTGTTTGTTTGTCTGTCTGTCTGTCAGTCTGACTGACTGCCTGTTTGTTTGTCCAATTGTCTGTCTGTCTGTTTGTGTTCTTGTCCGTCCGTATGCTTCTTTGTAGCTTGCTCACTTTTCCACCTATATTAATTTTTTTATTTTTTTCAAAATAGATTTTCGATGCTAATGATGATGACGACGACGACGATGATAAAGATGATGATTGGTCTGTTCTGTTGTTGATGATGATGACGTGGAATTTGCTGCTGAGGACGATGATGACGACGAGGATGACTGACGATGATGATGACGTCATTCTTAAAAAGTTTTTTATTGATCTAATCTTTCTTATTCCAATTAATCACCATCAGTCAATCTCAACAATCAACGCTATCATCATCATCATTATACGTCATTATTTTTTTCAATTTATTTATTTATTTTTCCTAACCTCAATATCATCACCAACAATAGCTCATCCTTATTTTATTCATCATCACCATCACAGCCATCATCATCACATCGTCGTCGTCATCATCACATTGTCATCGTCATCATTACATCGTCATCGTCATCATCACATCGTCATTATCATCACCATCATCAGGGCTTCTTCAGGCTAATGCAGCTGCGGAAGCTGACACTAAGCGACAACGAGCTGTCCATCTTGCCGTCTGACATTGCCAACTTTTCAAATCTACAAGAGCTGGATGTCAGTAGAAACGGTCAGTCTGTTGTTGTGGTTGAAGTTGGGGTTGATGTTGGTTTTGTTGGTGTTGTTTCTGTTGTTTCGATGTTGTTGTTATTGTTGCTGTTGTTGATGTTTTTGTTGTTGCTGCTGTTGTTATTTTTGTTGGTGTTGTTTTGTTTTTGATTTTGTTGTTTTGTTGTTGCTGCTGATGTTATTGTTGCGATTATTGTAGTTATTGCTGTTGTGCAATAGCTTGCAATCATGCGATAACTAATGATAATTTACATAGCGCTATCTTTTTTACAAACATTCAAATATAAGTTTATACGTACATTCCACGTACAATAAACTGAGAGATCTCTTCGCTTTATTAACAATAAAATTAAAAAAAAAGTTATTATTATTGTTATCATTATAATTATAATTATAATAATAATAATAATTATTGTTATTATTATCATGATTCAGACATTGAAAACATTCCTGACAACATAAAATACTGCAAGAACCTGCAAATAGTTGATCTCAGTAGTAATCCGCTACAGAGGTTAGTAATAGTAGTAGTAGTAGTAGTAGTAGTAGTAGTAGTAGTAGTAGTAGTAGTAGTAGTAGTAGTAGTAGTAATAGTAGTAGTAGTAGTAGTAGTAGTAGTAGTAGTAGTAGTAGTAGTAGTAGTAGTAGTAGTATTAGTATTAGTAGTAGTAGTAGCAGTAGTAGTAGTAGTAGTAGTAGTAGTAGTAGCAGTAGTAGTAGTAGCAATGGTAGTCGAAAGCCAAACAACAGCCACAGCAACAACATAAACATCCATAACTACAAAAAACACTACAATAACATTAACAATAACAACAGCAATAGCAACAACAACAACAACAACAATAATAACAACAATAATAACAACAACAACCATAACTCCAACAACAACAACAACAACAACAATGATGATAATAGATTGCCTGATGGCTTCACGCATTTAAGAAACCTCACGAACTTGGCTCTCAACGACGTCTCGCTAACCAGACTACCAAATGATATCGGATGGTAGTTGTAGTAGTAGTTGCTGTTATTATTATTGCTATTATTGTTGTTTACTGTTATTATTATTATTGTCGTTGTTGTAGTAGTTGTTGTCGTAGTAATTTTTGTTGTTGTTTGCCGCGGTCGTTTATGGTAATAGCCAGTATTAGTGATAACATTAATAACAACATTTCGAATAATAATAAAAATGATAATAGTATCACTACTAATAATAGTAATAATAATAATTAATAATTTTCAATATTATTATATTTATTATTATGCAAATATTATAAATTTTATATTTTCAATTTTATCAAGTCTGTCTAACCTGGAGTTTTTAGAACTGCGGGAAAATTTGATAAAATTTTTGCCACCTTCGATATCATCTCTCACTCGACTGAAACTGCTTGATCTGGGGAGTAATATGATTGAAGAACTGGTTGGTTGGTTGATTGATTGGCTGGTTGGTTGGCTAATTGGTTGGCTGATTGATTGGTTGGCTGGTTGACTAATTGATTGAATGTTAGGTTGGATGGTTGGTTGAATGTTTGGTTTGCTGGTTGGTTGGCTGGTTGGTTGGCTAATTGGTTGGCTGATTGATTGGTTGGTTGAGTAATTGGTTGAATGTTTGGTTAGATGGTTGATTGGTTGATTGATTGACCGACTGATCGGCTGTTTGTCTGGTTAATCAACTAATTGGTTGATTTTCGATTGCTAGGTTGGTTAAATAGTTGGTTTGTTAGTGTATTGATTGCTTAATTGGTCAGTTGACTGATTGATTGAATGATTGATTGTGAGTCGTATGTTGATGTTGTTACATGTGGCACAACTGCAACAACATCATCATCATAATCATCATAATCATCATCGTCATCATCATCATTGTCATCATCATCATTACCAACAGCCCGACTACATAGAATCCTTGCAGAGCCTCGAAGAATTATGGCTAGATTGCAACGACCTTACCGAGCTGCCGAAGGTCAAATATTATAATTACCCCATTTCAAATAAAATGTCAATTTTATAAAATCATCTCACCCTAATAGTAGTAATAATAATAATAATGATAATAAAATAATAATAATAATAATTTCATCAACGCATTATATTGATAGACAACATGATACAAAATTGGCATTAGTGGTTAAATGTTAATAACAACATTACGATAACGGTTGGATGAACGATGGTGATGACGACGACGATGATGTTTCTTTCAATATAGCAATGGCATTTATTATATATGGTCATATTTAGCAATAGCTTCTCAAATTGCTTTTTATGGATATAATTCATGTAAAAATAATAAAATGATTTTGGCTATTTTTTTATATCTCTTTGACCCAATTTCAGGAAATCGGTAACTTGCATAACCTGACCCAATTAGACGCGTCCGAAAATAAGATTGAGGTCTTGCCCTTTGAACTCGGCTACCTCTCCAACTTAACTGACCTCATTCTCTCTCAAAACATGATACGTGCACTGCCTGACTCAATCGGTTGGTGATGATGATGATGATGTTGTTGTTGATGATGATGTTGTTGTTGATGATGATGTTGTTGTTGATGATGATGTTGTTGTTGATGATGATGTTGTTGTTGATGATGATGTTGTTGTTGATGATGATGTTGTTGTTGATGATGATGTTGTTGTTGATGATGATGTTGTTGTTGATGATGATGTTGTTGTTGATGATGATGTTGGTGTTGATGATGATGTTGTTGTTGATGATGATGTTGTTGTTGATGATGATGTTGTTGATGATGATGTTGTTGATGACGATGACGATGATGATGTTGGTGATGGCAATGACAAAAAGTATGGTAATAATGATGATCATAAGAACGATGAAAAATTTGAAAAATGAAATGATGAACCACTAATCTAGAGAGCCATATTCATGACAATAACAACAGCATTACTATGATGATGACAACAAACAACGATGATGACGACGACGATGATGATGAGACTATAGAAAAAACGATACGAAAACCATACCGGCATTGATATTTACAACTTGACGATGTGACGTCGTTGCTGTAGCGATAGTAGCCACAATAATGATGACGGATGAAGTGGGGCGATGTATGCGATCAGACAAGCTCATAAATAATTCAGTAGTAGTTTGCATTTGGCAACTAATTTTTTGCGGTTTTTAACATTTCATTTTGTATTTTTTTGTAGTTTTGTATTTTTTTGTATCTTTTGTATCATTTTGTATGTTTTATATTTTTTTCTTCTTCAAGGAAATCTCAAGAGACTGACTATCCTAAAGTTAGACCAAAACCGCTTGCAACACTTGAATCCAAATATCGGAAGGTTTACAATGTTGTTACTATTGCTTATGCTGCTGCCACTGCTGCTGCTACTACTATTACTACTGCTGCTACTAATGATAAATAATAATTTAATAATAATAAATTTCATTATTATTATTATTTGTTGTAGCTGCGAAAACTTACAGGAGCTTTTGCTAACGGAGAATTTATTAACGGTCAGTCGGGATGATGTTGATGATGACGACGACGATGATGATGATGGTTGTGATGATGGTTATATAATAATAATAATATAAATAATGTCGTTTATGAGCGCCTTATGCATAGCGTCAGAGGCGTCCGTATTAACAAGTGTCAGCACGGCCGCCAAAGGCCTGCTCAAACAGACGCTGCTTCAATCGCTTTTTAAACGTTTCTATTGATGATTGTTGACGGATGATGAGTGGCAAACTGTTCCATAATGATGGTGAGCAATGTGAGAATGGTGATAAAGAAGAAAAGGAAGGAAGATAATGATGATGATTTTGTTTAATTAATGATGATGTCGTTACTATTGATGACGATGATGATGACAACAACAACAACTGCAACAACAACAACAACTGCAACAACAACAGCAACAACAACAACAACAACAACAGCAACAACAACAACAACAGCAACAACAACAACAACAACAGGAATTATGCTCAACAATTGGTCAGCTGAAATCGCTAACAATTTTCAACGCGGATAGAAACCAACTCGTTGATGTTCCAAGAGAAGTCAGAAATAATTTTATTATAATTATTATCATTATTATTATCATTAATATTATTATTGTTGTTGTTATTGTTATTATTGTTATTATTGAAGGCTCTGTTCTTTGTATTTTACTTTGTCCTGATTCGTTTTACTCTCTACCTAACCGTATGTACCTGCTTCAACTTTATGATAAATTTTATCGTCGGCTACTTCGGAAAGAAAAATATCAAGTTTTCATTATTACTATTGTTGTTGTTATAATAATTATTGTTGTTGTTGTTATTTTTATTGTTATCCCTCGCTCACTCGCTCACTCACTAACTCTCTCACTCACTCTTACATCAGTGTAATTGGTAACGAATCAATCCTACACAGATAGGCAACTGCAGCAAGATGGGCGTCCTATCGTTGCGAGACAACTGCATCGGTAGTCTGCCTAGCGAAATCGGAAACATGAAGAAGTTGCATGTTCTTGATGTCTGTGGCAATCGGTACGTGAGTGAATGAGTGAGGGCATGAATAAATGAATGAATGATTGATTGAATGGGATTGATTGAATGAATGATTAAATGAATGATTGAGTGAGTAAGAATAATATAAAAACTCCTCAATCAACAAATCCGCCAATCAATCAAAAACCACTTGAACGACCAAATTAGACTTCAGCACTTGCCTTTCAGCTTGAGTTTGTGCAACTTAAAAGCAGTTTGGTTGTCTGAGAATCAAGTTCAACCACTTTTGAAGTTTCAACAAGATGCAGACGAGAAGACTAAGCAGAAAATTCTTACATGTTTCTTGCTACCACAGCAAGCTTATATAGGAGAAGGTGGTTCGGGAAAAGTTTTCATCATCAACACTATCATCTTCATCATCCTCATCATCATCATCATCATCATCCTCGTCATCATCATCATCATCATCCTCGTCATCATCATCATCACCTTCGTCTTCATCATCACCATCATCACCATCATCACCATCGTCGTCATCATCACCATCATCACCATCGTCATCATCATCATGACAGAATCCTTATTAAAAGAAGGACACAGCAGCATAATGCTAGGTCCGGATTGCTGGGTCCGGGATACGACGGTCAAGTTTGCGAGTGCCGATAGTGATGACGGCCACATCGAGGAGGTTATAGTAGTGATGATGATGATGATAAGGAAGATTATGATAATGATGATGACAATGATGGTTGCGATCATGATGATGATGCTGATGATGTGATGTTTGTTGATTTGGATAAAAATTTTGGTAGTACGTTAAGGGTAATAACAACAAAAGTAAAATCTACAATTACAATAACTGCTATAAAAAACAAAAACTACTACTACTACTACTACTACTACTACTACTACTACTACTACTACTACTACTACTACTACTACTACTACTATTACCACTGCTACAACTACTACAGAGCCACTTCGTCCGCCACAACACACCACACCCAAAAGACCTGAAAGCACGCCACAGTCGATACATTAAGAAAGACTACAACAGCAACAACAGCAACAGTAGTACTAACAACAACAAAAACATCAACACAACAACAACAACAACAACATCTTCAATTCTCACTACAACAACTACATCAACGACGACATCATCTATGCCAACATCAGCACTGACAACAGCAACGCTAGATTACACTACCAATCAGCTCATACAAAGCTACAAGAATGACGTCATCAACAACAACAACAAAAACAACAAAAATGTTAATGACGTAATTGATGAGGATGACGAGAACGATGACGTCTACGCAGACGATGATAATGATAAATCCGCGCTGGTGAATGACGTCAAGAAAAACTCAAACATCGAAAATGATCTCAACACAATCAACAACAACTTTCAACAGTTTCAGCAACAACAATCTTACATACAACAACAGCAGCAGCAACAAGAACTACAACAAGAAACGCAACAATATTTTAGCAGCACAACAACAACATCATCCATCAACAACAACAACAACAACGAAAATGTTGCCGAAGAATGTTGTAGGACTCGTGTTAATGTTTACAGCACCGGTAGTGCAGACGACGAGTTGGACAATTTTCCGCAAAAAGTTGACAACAGCGCTCTAGACTACCCAACAACAATTTGCAACATCAACAACAACAACACAAACAACAACATAAACAACAACAGCAACATAAATGTTCTTTACACCGCTCTACATCTGAAACAAACAGTCGAGGAAGATGATAATGATGACGACGCTGAGGATAATTCTGAAGTGTTTCCGGTTGGTGATGATGATGGTTATAAGAAAAATGGCAATAATAATAATATTTAGTATGATAATACTTTAATTTGGAGTTTTATATTTTTATACTTAAATTTCTACTGTCTTTGGAAATCCTCCTTTGAAGAAAATGTATAGTAATGAGGATGATTTAAAATGTAATTGTCAGATGGATTGAAAATAATTAAAACTTAGTAAGTGAAGATTCTTTGATTAGTTAGTATTATTGTTATTATATTTTTCATGATCTAAAAATAGGCTCCGATTGTGATTCGCCAGCCAATACAGCACGTACTCTCGAGACAGCTGGGTACTTGTGAGTCATTCGAAAGTTGGACAAATGAGAATCAAGATTACATTCAGGTTGCATGTGATTGGTTCGTTTGAATTTTTAGGTTGAATGTGATTGGCTCATTCGAATTTTTGGGTTTGATGTGATTGGCATATTTGAGTTCTCATAAATAATTCACATTTTTAAACTCTGAAAAAAAATTTCAAAACTGAAAATTTAAAATAAATTTTAAAATTAATGAACGTTTGGTGTATTTACAAAGTTTAAATTATTTAGAGCGTTAAACTTTCTAAATCATCATCGTCGTCGTCATCATCATTTGTCGTCGTCGTCATCATCATCATCAGATAAGAAGCGTCATCCAACCAATGACAACTTTGACGATTCAGTCAAATGTAGAACCTCAACTATCAATTTCATCTCTTGTGAATCAACCACAACAACCACAACAACAACCACAACAAACGCTACTACAACAGCGCAGTCTACTTCAACAAAATTCACCCAAACAGCAGCTTCAGCAACAACAACGTCAACACAGCTTGCAACAACAACAACAACAACAACATCGTTATATTCATCAAAATATTTTAACACCATTTTCGGCATCGTATATAAACACATCGCCAATTTCGCAAAAAAATCTGATGCTGCAGAAACAGCAGCAGCAGTTACATCAACAACAGCAGCTCCAACAACAACAAATAAACATTGTAGATGTTTGTAGCAGCACAATCGCCAGCAACAACGACAACTATTGTTGTTACGACAGCTCAACAAACAACCCTTTGTCGGCCGGTCAAATTTTCAGCAACGAAATATACAACACAATGATCGCATCAACAGACAACGACACTAACAACAACGACAACAACAACATCAGCAGCAGCAGCAGCAACAACAACATATCATGCAACATCGCAACCTTAGACCAGTCGTCTACTAACGAAACAATAATCATTCCCGTCATAAACGAACAAGACCTCTTAATAGAAGAACGCATTCTGGAAGTGTGGGTGCATAGAGACCCAGGAGTGCCACTTGGAATGAGCATAGCAGGGGGCGTTGGTTCGAATCCGTCTGGGGTCAGACTAGATGGGGTGTACCTGTCCAGGGTGTGTCCGGGTGGACCGTCAGACATTGCCAAGTTGAAGCCCGGTGATAAGCTCATATCGGTTTGTTTGTGAGGATGGTATCTGGTAGATAATTTTTTTGATTGTGTTTCTGTTTCAAACACCGCTAAACTATTTTTTTATCACGTCATCATCGTCTTTAATCATCATCACCACCATCACATCATTATCATTACCGTCATCATCACCATCAAATCAGCACTATAAAATCACTATCAGGTGAACGGTCAGCAGATAGATAACATGCAACACAACGAGGTGGTCCAACTGTTGAAAGACGCCGGTGATGACGTGTGTCTACTTGTCGCCAGACCGGTTCTGCAGAACAACAATGAGGCCTATCAGGTTTGTCTCTGTATGTATGTATGCATGTATGTATGTATGTATGTATGTATGCATGCATGTATGTATGTATGTATGTATGTATGTATGTATGTATGTATGTGTGTGTGTGTGTGTGTTTCTTGTGCGTGTATGTTAATTAATCCAGAGTTAATAGTTGAGTCACTAATTACCTACCTACCTACTTACTTACCTACCCACCCCTTCCTACCAGACATTAACCGTAAAGTTGACAAGAGACGAAGTTGGGTTGGGATTCACAGTAGCAGGAGGGCGGGGTTCAACTCCATACAAAGCCAATGACCAGGTTGTTAATAATATTTTATGAAGTGTTTTTTGTTTTCTTTTGGTGTGTGTGTGTGAGTGTTTGTCTGTCTCTGTGTGTGTGTGTTTTAGTGTGTGTGTGTATTTGTGTGTTTAAGCGTGTGTGTGTATTTGTGTGTTTGTTTGTACGTGTGTGTGATTCAATGTGTGAAAGTATATATTTTTTCTCCACAAATTTATTTGTGCGTTATGTTCTTAATACTATTGGGCTTCCAGTATAGGTCACAATTTTGGTGATTGAGGTGAAAGTTCACCATAAGTTCAAATTTTTAATTGTGGTCAAGATAGTTTTTTTGGATTGTGTTCATATACCCTTTATTTCAAATATGAAATAAGATTATTGTAGGCAACAGTGGATGTTTCGTGTTGACGAACTTGTAAATTAAATTCGGTTTCAATGTTTTTATCGTTCATTGTGAGTTTTCATACTTTATTTTTCCTACATTTTGTTCATTCATTAATTATTTTTCTTTGTTCTCACGTGAGGGTGAGTTCGAATTTTAAATCTGTACATAATAAAATAGAATCAAATCAAATTAATTACTTCCTCCAACATCGAAACGAATTGAACGATCAGTCAATCTACATCTCTCGCATCAGCAAGGGCGGGGCAGCTGAACAGGAAGGCTCCTTGAGGGTTGGGGACAAATTAGTGTCGGTAGGCCCTGAATGTTCCCTCTCTATGTTGTTGTTGTTGTTGTTGTTGTTGTTGTTGTTGATATCGATGTTCTTGTTGTTGTCGATGATAGTTTTGTATTTGTCTGAGACTAAAAACAACAACAACTCAACATCAACAACAGCACAACAACAACAACAACAACACCCTCAAAAACAACAACAACAAAACATATCAGGTGAACGGTATAGATGTGACCACCGTCCAACATGATGAGGCAGTGACCTTGTTGACCCGAACGACAGGGCCGATCCTCTTGATTGTGACCAGGTCGATTGACCAAGAAGGAATGACTCCTGCCAATTTTGGTCAGTTTACTGTTTTTGTTTAATCATTTTTTTAATAATTAATTTTATGTAATTTTGAATTTTTGTTATGAATCAAACGCAGACCTTGAAAATTTGAACATTCCGGAACGGGAAACGTACATGACTCCAAATCTTGCTCACCCCTCTCCAACGTTATCAACATCTCACGAGTCTTTCAACAACAACAGCAACAACATCATCTTCCAACAACAACAGCAACAGTGTGGCGATCATCACCTGCAACAAATAGACGAATGTCCTGATGGCCCCACTCTCGATGATCCGTCGCAACTTTTCCAGGACGAATTCATCGATTATGACCAGCTCATGCAGTTGGATTATTCTCAGCAACCACCGCAGCAGCAACAACAACTTCTAGATTATACTCAACAGCAACCGCAACAACAACCATTTTTAGATCAACAACAACAACAACAACACTATCTAGCATCATCGGTAACATTCCAGAAAACAACGTTTAACAACATTCACTACAACGCCATTCCAACGACAAACTCTAGTGCTCATTTTGACCCATTCTTCAACCTGTCCTACTGTAATATTGCTCATGCACATCAACAATCACAGCCGCAACAGCCACAACAACCACAACAACAGCAACAGCAACAAATCGAAAACGCTTACCCAAATACCGCCGAGATATGCCAGTGTTGCCAGAATCAGCACCAACAACAAAACATCCCACAAGGCCAACAAACGTTTCAACATCAACAGCAACAACAAATTTATTTTCAACTACCGCAGGTCTTAATCGCTTCAGTTCACGACGATCCACAACAACAACAACAACAATTAACTGATAATCTGTCCGACAACGACCTCATAATCTGTTGCCCTGACTGCACTTGCAACATCAACAACAACAACAACATCAACAACATCGTCCCAACACCTATCATCAACTCGGCTGATGACGGCAGTTACAATAGCGATAACGTTAATAACATCAACAATAATAACGAAAATAATAACAACAATAATCTACTGTAACTGTTAAATTTCACTTTTAGTTTCACTTTCAGTTTCATTTTTACTCAGAAAATGAGATTACATTATGTTATCATCCTAATTTTCAAACTATCCAACCCACTCAAAAATGTTATTTCTGGATTGCTCCTGAGAAATTTTTATTGTACTATTAATAATATAATAATAATAATGATTATTATTATTATTATTTTTACCATTATTATTATTAATATTTTTTAATTTTTTAGCGCTAAATAAATTATTCTTCGGATGATTTTATCAAAAATAAAAATTTCGTTTCATTGTTTTCTCATATTAGAGATTCATGTATTTGTGATACACACACACACACACACACACACACACACACACACACACACACACACACACACACACACACACACACACACACACACACACACACACACACACACACACACACACACACACACACACACACACAGACACACAGACACACACACACACACACATATATATATATATATATATATATATATATATATATATATATATATATATATATATATATATATATATATATATATTGGTAAATTTTATTCAGTATTTGTCATTATTATTCTACAATTAGACTGCATTTGAAGATGTAACTTAATTATTTAAATATTATCATTACATTCTTTGATATTATTGAGATTTTACGAATTTGTGTGTATATATATGTGTGTTGGTGCGTGTATTGGTGTGTTTGCGTGTGTGTGGTGTGTGTGTTTAAGTTTTTCTATTTTTCGGTATTGTTATAATAATTTTGGTCTATATCTTGTCTAAGAGATAAAAAAAATCAACGTGTAAAAGTTATTTCTTCGGCTTAAAATAAATTAATTGTAAATTAGATTGAAAACAAAATAAATAAATAAATTGTACTAAAATAAAATGACAGGTTGAAATTAATTCATTCATTTTGTCATATCATTCTTTAATTTTATCATTCATTCATTCATCTGTTCATTCACTCATTCAATTTTTTTTAATTCCATTTTTAAAGTAAATTTACGATTTATAAATTTTTTATTAAAATAAAAAATCAATTAATCGTAAAATAAAAAAAAGTTAAAAAAAGAGTTTAAAAAAAGTGTTGTTTTTTATACAAAAATAGTAATCATTTGCAATTATTATAGGTAGTATAGTAGAGTTCATTCATCTTTCATTCATTTAGTTATTCAGCCAGTCGATCATTCATTTATTCATCCATTCATTTGTCATTTATTCGTTCATTTATTCATTCATTAATGTACTTCATTATTTAAATTTAAAGAAGTAATTCTCAAGTAGTTGTTTGACGAATGATTAAATGATCTCAAACATTAATCCACATCACGCCAAGCTCGTTAACAACATTTCTTATTCTTTCTCTTCCTTCTTCTCTCTTTCTTTCTTACTTTCTTTCTTTCTTTTCTCTTTCTTTCTTTTCTCTTTCTTTCTTTCTTTTTTTCTTTCTTTCTTTTTTTCTTTCTTTTTTTCTTTCTTTCTTTCTTTTCTCTTTCTTTCTATTTCTTCCTTTCTTTCTTTCTTTCTTTCTTTTTTTCTTTCTTTCTTTCTTTCTCTCTCCCTCTCTTTTTCTATGTTTTTCTCTTTTTTTATTAATTTCTCTCTCTCTCTCTCTCTTTCTCTCTCTCCTACTTTTTTCTATTTTTTATTTTTCGTCGTCTCATTTCTTTCTCTCTCTTTCTCTCTCTCCGTTTTTCTCTTCTCATTTTTTGACATAATTTTTCCTGTATCTGTTAACTCTCTCTCTCTCTCTCTCTCTCTCTCTCTCTCTCTCTCTCTCTCTCATTCTCTTTCGCCAAAAGACAGATACACGGACATAATTAATAAATAAATATTCATAGATCGATAATGAATGATCATCATTGGCATGACGAATGTCATCGTAGGAATGAACGCATTTCGTTAGACGATAGTTGATGGATCTTTTGAAGGGAATGTTAGTTGACTGGTGTTGTCGCTAAAGCTGCAGTTGTTGTTGTTGTTGCTGCTGTTGTCGTCATTGATGTTGCTGCTGTCGTTTGGTTGTTGGTGTAAGGATGCGATTGACTTCAATTGTTGCTGTTGTTGATGTAATTGTTGCTGTTGTTGTTGTTTGTGAGGACGATTCAATAATATCTGTTGTTGCTGCTGTTGTTGTTGTTGGTTGACAGCGCTAATATGCAGTCCGCCATTCATTAGCAAGGGAAATGTACCGTTAAAAAATGTTGTAGTTGATGACGTCATCGCTGTTGACGATGACGTCATCTGATTATTTATTTTAGAGTCGTAATCTGTGTGGTGCTGGCGCGGTAGGGAATGTTGCTGGTTGAAGATGATATGTTGAGAGTGCTGTTGTTGTTGTTGCTGATATTGTTGCTGTTGAAGATGTTGTTGTTGTTGTTGTTGATGTTGTTTCGGGGTTTGTTGTGTTATATCAACAGCCAATGATTTCAAGGTGAACGACGAACTGTTTTTATTGTTCGCGTCATAAAAACGAGTGGTCGCAGATGACGTTGCTGCTGATGCCGCTGCAGGCAACAAAGTTGTTGCAGCAACAGTTGCTGATGTTGTTGTTGTGTATCTAGGCAGACTCCTGATTGACAACGTTGTTGATGTGGCAGATGTGGTTGCTACTGCTACTGCTGCTGTTGTGGTGGCGAAAAGAAAATTTTTTAAGCCAGATCCTGAAAAATTATCAACATTTTCACCGGAAGTTCTGCTTAAATAGCACGTGATTATGCTATTATTGTTATTAGTATTATTGCTGAAATATCTGTTATTATTGTTGATGTTATTATTATTACTATTCACAGTACTATTATCATCGCCATCAAATTTTTTTTTATTACGGACATCATCATCAACACCACCGCCATCATCGTCGGCATCATCATCGTCGTCATCATCTTCATAAATGTCCGGACAGTTTAAAAACTTGTTTTGATTGGTGGTCTTTTTGGTGAACTTGACCTTTGACCTTTTGGATGGGGCGTGGGTCACGTCCAGTGATGACGATGACGACGACGCTGTTGACGATGACATAGATGACTGTATGACGTAATGATTTCTACTGCTACTACTTCCGATGTGATCATCCGGGAAGCAGTTTTCAGCTCTGCCAAAACTTTTGATCACGTCATTCTGCTGGCAGCATTTGGCGGGTGGTGAGGGTATGTGGTAGAATTGGGATGGAGTGATTGTGGGAATAGCAGTGGTGGTAGAAATAGTGATCGTCGTCAGTGGTAGAGCGCTTTGTGGTGGTGATGGGTTTGGAGGGGTGGTTAAGAATTTGTGAAACAGTGAAGTGTCAGGAGTTCTGATAACATAAGCGTTGTTGTTGTTTGATTTGTTTGTGAAATCTTGTTGCTGCTGCTGCTGCTGGTAGCTGTGCTGCTGCTGCATTTGCTGCTGCTGCTGATGACGATGTTGATGATGTTTTCTCGAGTCGATCGTCAAGCGATTCAATTTGGAAGGTGAAATACTGAGAGTTGATTTTATCAGACTGGTAGTTGTTGTTGTGTCGTTGTTGTTGTTGTTGCTGTTATTTTTGTTGCCGCTGCAGTACAACAGCTCTTTATCGTTGTTGCTGCTGTTGGATTTAGTGCTGAAATTTCTTTCAACGTTGTCTAACTTCAAGAGGATTCTTTCTTTTCGCAATCTTTTTTTCTGACGGCAGACGGCACAAAACATGACAAAGTTGCAGCAAAATAACGCCAAGCCGACGGTTAGTGTCGCCAGCAGCGGTACTGCAGCCGCGAGAGTTTTGTTAGTGTTTTGTGGCTGTTGTTGTTCGTTTCTCGAAGTCGAGTTGTTGTTGTTGTTGGCTTTGGTGCTTTGTTTCTGCTGTTTTTTTGTGTTTTGAATGAGTTGTTGTTGTTTGTTGTGTAGTGTTTGCAAGTTGTGGTTGTGGTTGTTGTGAATTTCTTGTAAGTGTTGATGTGGGAAGGACGGGATGTGATTGATGTGACGGAAGTAGTTGTTGTTACGTTGTTGTTGTAGTTGTTGTTGTTGTTGCTGGCGGAGAGATGGATCGTAGGGTGAATGAATCTTGGAAGTGTTACCAAAATGTCGTTGTTGGTGTTGTTGTTGTTTTCGCTGGTGGAAGAACGTAACGTACGGCTCGAATCTTGATTTGTTTCTATAGTCCTCCAACTCATGATAATTTTCATCATCGTCATCGTCGTCGTCATCGTCTTCTTCGTGATCCTCACTTAAATCATCATCATCGTCATCATCCTCATCTTGAACATTATCACTGTTCTCAGGTTTTTTATCTCTATTGTTAACATTGATTTTGTTTTTATTATTGTTGTTGTTGTTGTGGTGGTGGTGGTGGTGGTGGTGGTAGCGGCTTTCGGCGTGCAGTTTCGGTATAAGATCAATCCAGAGGGCCATCTTTGAGGGTCGGAAGTGTCGTCGTATTGTCAACTTCACTGCCATTCAAGTTTAATACAAATATGTGTGCGTGTGTGTGTGTGTGTGTGTGTGTGTGTATGTGTGTGCGTGT